GATGCCTGGAGAGCATCAGCCTGTCCTGCCCGCTGCAGGCATGAGGGGGGCCGGGGGCTTTGCTGGTCCCTGCAGAAGAGAGGGCAGGGGGGAGGGGGGGTGGCGGGTTGAGAGCAGCCTTCACTTCCCTGACTGGGGCTTCCAAAGAACCGGAGGCAGATAACAGGACAAGGAGCAAGGGTCTCCAGCTGCAGCCAGGGGGGCTTAGGCCGGGTATTTTAGGAAAAGCTTTCTCACTAGGAGGGTGGTGAAGCACTGGGTTATGGAGAGAGGCGGTGGAGTCTCGGTCCTTGGAGGTTTTAAGGCTTGACAAAGCCCTGGCTGGGATGATCTAGTTGGTGATGGTCCTGCGTTGAGCAGGGGGCTGGATTCGATGCCCTCCTGAGGTCCCTTCTAACCCCAGTTTCCTAGCCACATGGGGGTCGGGACCATCCTGATCGCCACATGGCTGGGAGAGCTGTCCTGCTGCATTCCAGCCCAGTGGAGATCAAGTAGGCATCTGATCCCCAGATGGCCAGGAGAGGTGTCCCTGCCCCGTGGGGACACTACCTGGCAGCCCTGTGGGGCTTGAGAGGGTCCTGATCACTACTTGTTCAGGAGAGGCATCCGTGCCTGGCGGGGACAGCTGTGTGGGGATCAGGAGGGTCTTGGTCCCCACTTGACTACCAGGCAGGGTCCCTTTTGGGTGGAGAAGCCTCTCCATTGTGACCCTCCTGATCCCCACATGGCTGTCCCCACCAGGCAGGGATGCTTCTCTTCGCCATTTGGGGATTGGGTCTGATCCCCACATGGCTGGGACACAGCAGTCATGGCTGCCAGGAAAGATCTTGCCCCTCTTGTGAGGATTGAGACCAGCCCCCTGCTCCCTGCCAGCCCCTCCCTGAGGGAGCCTGGAGATCCCCCTGGCTACTACAGTGGGGCAGAGCAGGTCAGGGGGCAGGAACATCCCTGATGTCAACTGCTCTAACGTAGTTCCTTTCCCAGGAGCAGTTTACTGCACCTTTTCAAATACCCAGTAACCTTACTGTGCATTAATAGCATGTGTAGACGCACAGTTTCTTTCAGCATTGGAGATCACCTTGTGCTAAGCACCTTTAGCCCTGCTGCCCTGCTCACATTTTGTTGGGAATTGTCCCCGGGACTATTCTAACCCACACTTCGGGGGTCTTCCTGGCTTCTAGTATAAGTGGGTGGTGTTACCTTGCTACCTCTACCTCCCGTCCTCTGGACCTGGTTTGTATTTGTGACAGGCTAAAATGATGAGAGTTTTGCTTGAGAAAGGAATGCAGGATTGGTACCACGACAATCCTCCCTGCTTCCCTCAAAGCACTGAGGGATGATGTGTAGGAAATGTTTATTACAACACTTATTATTACTCTTGGATTTATGGGAAATCACAGCTGTCCCATTCTGATTACCAATCCAGTTCTGATTAGCAATTGCAATCTGTTTAGCAATTCAGGCAGCTTTAAAGCCTGGTCTAAAAAGGTGACTCCAGTCCCATGGCTCATTCATAGAGTTTTAGAGGCATACAGGCTTAGGAGAGGTCTTTCTAAAAGTCACCAACAGTCTGAAAGCTGGGAGGAAGTTTATGTTTACTTAAGTGGTTTTCAGTTTAAATATCCTTTTCTGACAGTCATGCTGCTTTCTCTAGCTTCACTTTTAAAATAGGTTGTAGGCCCAAGTTTTTCATATACATCTCTACTCTTAATTTACATAAGTGAATCATTCACATATATTATGACTTGTACTTACTTTTTCATGAAAACACTGTATAAACTAAGTCTTGCTTTTGTTTGTCTCTGGATCTTTCTTCTTCCCAGTTTTATCTGTAAATGAAGTTACCAAAGTCAATTCTGTTTTCCAGCAATGTAGAGTTCAGGGAGGAACATGACACTGGCAGATGCTTCTTGGACCACCATATTCCTGTACCAGCAGGCAACCATTTGCCTAAAAGATCCACAAAAACATCTTCTCTGATCTTTCTTAAGCCCCCCCGCTATCCTGCAACACCATAGTCATCAGGTGGTGACATTATGACATAGCCATAAAGCACCTAAGGTGGACACAGGTGAAGAGCAGAGCTAGGGAGACAAGTGACAGGGCTGGATGAATTGCTTGAGTAATGGATGCTAATTTGCTTTAGTTACACCACAGGGTATATCCCTTCCTCATTTACACTGGCGTGATATTGAAGTAACTCCATTAATGTTTTGGAATATGTGGAGTTTAACAAGATCTTTTTCAATTGCCTACTAGGTAGCACTGTACTGGGTGAGTGACATGTCTGGTAAATTAGAATTTTTGTCACAAATTTCTGAATCAATGTATCTTTAATCTTATAGTTTTAACACTGAGGGGCTTTTAACTGAAAAAACTAACTGCTAAGTGTTCAGGGCTAGGATGCAGAACCTTTCCCCCCTGGAAGAAATAGAGTGCATCTATGCTAAGATACCGTTGCTAGAATGCTCCACCCTTGCTATCACTGGTACAGCTCTTAATGTTAGTCAGTGCAGGTAGGACTCTTGAGGGCTGCTGATATATCATGTCTTCTAGTCCTGTTCAAAGCTGGTCTACAGGACATGTGATTAAAATGTCCCTGGCTGCCACCACTGTGGCCACACTAGCGTTTCTACAGTTGCTATCACTTGTATAGTAGTATCACCAATGATGAGAAAACTGAGGGTGAAGATTCCTAGGATAAGCAAGGTAATATTATTGGTTAAATGAACCACCCTTCTTTTTGAAGTCCTGTCTATGAGATGAATATGGAAAAGGAAGAACCATTTCATAGGAATTATGTGGGATTGCAAGGATAATGCTTTCCTACTTGAATGCTGAGAAAAGTTTTTAATATACTGCTCTTTAGGAGCAGCTTGATGATTTGGGTAGCAACTTAATAGCTTCTTCACTAACAAGGAACATGAATAAGAGAAGGAAAAGAGGCAAAAGCATCTTTAATTCCAAGTGAGTGTTGTTAAAGGGTCTCTTGTAACTAAACCATGAAGTATACACCTCACTGAAATGAACTGATAGTATTAGCGGAGATTTCACATTCTTTTGTCAGTGTGTCTGGATACATTTTTTCCCTGCATCATGCAATTTTGTATAAGGAAATCTTCATTTTCTATAGAAAAAAATTACTTGAATTCTATAGAAAATACCTAAGAATACATCATTTAACTAAAAGATTCTCCAAACTGCAGGGCATTCATTTTATGATGTCCTTTACGTTGTATGAATTCCATCACACTGGTTTCTAAACATTCCCAGAATTACAGTCTTAATTCTCAGGCAAATATTGCCTTGTCAAAAATAACTAGCCATGATATGACATTCTTGGAACTGTTAAACAGAGTGGGCATAGAATATATTCATGTAAAATATACAGAGATACTCATGGAAAATCAGATGGATTTTCATACTGGTTCGGTTGTGGCATTAACCATCCATCCTAGCCAAGATTATGGTAACTACAATATCCTTCCATCCCCTAAAGAATCATTATATTAAACTAATCCTATATTCACTGAAGTCAGTGGTGATCTTGCAGTAGACTTTGATGGGAATGGGATTAGGTCTTTAAATGTCTAGACCCCTTTTAAAATTGGATATTTAAGTGCCAATATGCTTTTGAAAATTCTATTAAGTATCTACCTGCATTTCTGGACACCTTAACTTAAAAAAATCTTCCCCCAATTGTTCCTGCACTTTCTTTTATTGAAGTCAGTGTCTGTTAAGTGCAATGGGAACAAGATCATTCCAGAATGAGCTATGAATATGCACAAAAAATAAATTCCAGATAGAAAACAATTAAAACAGAATATTAAAATGTTACTTTAGTAAAATTACTGGTGGGAAGTTTAAGAAAATCCACATAATGTACTACTGCAATTTCAGATGTTTAAGTATCATTTTGCAATTTCATATCTTGACACGGTTGAATGTTGGAAAGATTATATGGATAAATAATATATTCCTCTTTTTTCAGTTTGAAAAAAGTGTTGAAACCCATGCTTTGTCTCTCATTCTACAAAGCCCTCCAACTTCTATAAATCACAGTGATGGGCTTTCAGTTACAATGTGTGGAACAGTAATACTGAAACTCTTGAGACCATAGATTACAGTGTTTCTTTCATCATCCAAGTACTGTAGCAACATAGTATCCTCACTAAAACAGTCTCAAATGAAACCAGAGACTTATATGTGTGTCTCTGTAAGTGAAGAGAGAGAGATAACAGAGGGTTAGGTATCATAAAGAACTTCTTTAATGGAAGTAAAACTGGCATCTCTTGCACAGAACTTTGAACAAATGAATCATAGTTGTGCTAAAAGAAATATTT